AGTCATCCAGAACATAATCGGGGTCAGGATCGGACATTTTACTTGAAAACTTGTTCGTTTTTTGTGAAGACAGTTGAGTAGCTGTTCTTTGTTAACAAAATGGAGGCGAAGGAAACGAAAGTGGTTGGGAAATTGAGGTCATTATCCGGGCACCTCTAACGGCTAACTCTTTCGAAAAAGGAGTTACAAATTGTGTATTTATAAAAGTTTAGCCATTCCTTGACCGAAATAAACCACATAGCAGACTGTAGGCGAATTTTTATAGCGACAGCCGGCTTCGCTCTGGGCCCACCGGCCATCGACCGATATCGGTCGATATACAAGGGCGTAAACTCGAGAGAGTTAATGGTGTACAGCGCTCGCCACGACGAAAGCAGACGACAGAACAAGAGAGCAGGAAAGGAGGTAAAAGGAGAAAATTTTAAAGAAGAAGAAATTTTCCGTTGCTGTCAAGTTTCGAGCTCGGGACCTATTGAAAGAGAGACAAACAACGTAACCCCTAGACCCCACCCTTCCAAATCACAACAAGAACAACATTTTTCTCCTCCTGCTACACGCCATTTTCTACTAGTAAACTGATGTTGTCTAACCGTCGGGTACCGGTGGCGGTATGGGCGGCACAGCCGGCAAAATATCGGTTGATTGAGTCTGACCGTCGGGCACGATGCCGGTGTTGATCTACCCTAAGACGGAAAATGCTTTGCCTGCTCAGTGCTCAGCCCTGATTTGAAACAAAACTCGCAAGTTTTGTTCTGCCGACTCTAAACTTAACACCATACTGCTGGGTGAGAAAGGGGAGTAGGGGTGAAATTTGAGGGTAGATGTTACCCCGTCTATGTGAACCCTGAGCGATACAGATTGTCAGGGTGGTGTGGGTGGGAAATCTCATGAGTGGCAGTGAAAGTGCTCTAGTAGCAAGACACCATGGCAATTTTCCTGGGTTGCCAGAAGCCTGAGGTGTGAAATTAGTTTGACCAATGCCTGCCGCCCTGATTGTACGGCCAGCCGAGAAAAGAGTTCCTCGAATCATTGTTACATGGCAGTGAGGGGTGGTATTGGTCAGTGGTGGACTGTGCTTGTTACCCTGATTGGTGGGGCTAAGGGTGGAAGCAAAGCAGATCTTTGAACGTTTCTGTTTTTAATGGGTCAAACAGTGGTCCTATGAAATGCTAGCAGTGGTGGTAATTGGATAAGTAAGACTGACGCATGTCATTATCAGAGAGAATAGCAGTTAAATTCCCATGTCTAAGACGGAAAATGTCAAAGACAGAATTTTGTTATGGCTCCCTTGCGATTCCATCTTACACAAGTTTGACTGCGTATATATATATATTTATATTATATATATATATATCTAGGCTGTCATAAAACAGCCCACCTGCGCACGACTGACCTAGATTCCTTGTGGGCTGGCACACTCGTGTAGTAGACCCACTACCTAGTAGATTATTAGTAGTGATAAGCCTACGCAGCGTGCGGCGGGCAGTTTGAATTGCTGTTTGCTCATTCTTTGACATTGGATTATTTCTGCCTAATGCAGTTTGCTTTTCAAGTCATCTGGATTATCTGAATATTTTTTCCATCATTGTGTGTGATGAGGAACAGCAGTGATGACTAATTAATTAATTAAGATCGACCAACAGTTTTGAGATCGCAAATTTGAAGTGCTGTTTGGCTGTACCGTAGGTCTACTGTTCATTTTCAGTCATTCTTCATTGCCATCGTACTGAATTGCCTGGATTCTTTTGGTTGTGGCCTAATACATTTTGTTTTCAAATCATCTGGATTGTGTGAATATAGCAAATATCTCTTCCATCAGTTGACTGTGTTGCCATCAATCTGACAGAGAAAGGTGAGGCAGCCATCACAACTCTTTTGAACTGGGCACAGCTTGCTGAAATAATGAAACCATCAGAAAGAGTAAAAATGCACTGCCTCACAAAAGACACATCAGAAGATCTTTCTTGGACGTGCAGATGCCTTGCTACCATGAGCAAATACCTACTGCCAATGCATGAACCATACTGACACCAGTT